GAAAACTAATGCCCACACAAAAACCTGCATACTAATGTTTACAGCGGCTTTATTCATAATTACCAAATGTGGAAGCAGCCAAGATGTTCTTCAGCTGGTAAATGGATAAACAAACTGTGGTATATTCATACAATGCAATATTATTCCATGATAAAAAAGCAATGAGCTTTCCAATCAGGCAAAGACATGGAGGAACTTGAACGCATGTTACTGAGTGTCAGAAGCAATGTGAAAAGGCTGCCTACTGTATGACCCCAATTATATGACATTCTGGAAAAGGAAAAACTATGGAGACGGGAAAAAGTACAGTGCTTGCCCCGGGTTCAGGAGGGAAAATGGAGGGATGTATTCATGTATAAGAGCACAAGGAATTTTTAGGGTAGTCAAACTATTTTGTAGGACACAGTATTTGTGGGTACATGTCATTATACATTTGTCAAAACCCATGGAATGTACAATACAAAGATTAAACTCTAATGTAAACTATGGACTTTAGTTAATAATAATGCATCAATATAGGTTCATCAATGTAACAAATGTACCACCCTAATGTAAGGTATTAATAATAGAGAAGACTGTGAGTAGGACTGAGGTAGTTTATGGGATTGTACATTCTGCTTAATTTTTTTATACCACTCCAAAAACTAGAAATTAAAAAAGAAAATCGCTTCTCTAACAGCCACTAACATCTGGCTTCAAAAATAGGTATACCAGGATAGATTCATCAAAAGTGAATGATAAAGACTGGGAGTTCTATGGAGGACTATGAAGTAGAACTGTAGAGGCTCTTAAATTAAAGCTCTTATAAAATAAACAACATATAAATTAAGTTCCAAAAAGAATGAAGCTGGGGTACCTCCCTTTCCCCTCTACAATTTCATTAATGGGATGGATTCATTGGAAAGCTTTGCAATGTTTTAGGTCAAGAAATAAACAATGCCTACTTTTTAGAAAAGTGAAGTTCTTTTATTTTCCCCAGCATCTTGAATTCTCCATTTTTAAATATCACATATTATAGAATTATCACTGCATCAATATACAATAACTTAAGGCACACTTACTTTGTCAGCCACCCAACATTTAAGACACAGTTCTGAAGCCATAATATGCTATTTGGTTTTGTTTCTGCATTTACTTCACAGTTCTTTTAAGTTCATTCATTGTATATTTGATCTCTCTAATTAATCATAAATTCCTCCCCTAAACAAGGAACTTTTGATAGAGCAATCTATCAGTGCTAACTGACCAACTTAAAATCTGTCCCTGAAGGAAAAATATATATCAAAGCTGCTGTGATTATTTATATCAGCATAAAATTAATTGCTGTGATTGCCCAACTAGAACACTTTCTTTTTGCTGGCCTCTTATTATTTCTATGAAAAGTGTATGAATTCCCTGTTTCTTTTTAATATTATTTTAGCATGGTTTTGAGAAGTGGAATTTAGTGTTCTTGGCGGGGGGAGGGCAAAAAGTCCATTCTCTCTTCATAGGCCTGAAAGTCTTCACATCATTCTGGAGGAAAGACAGACCTTTGGTTGGATATTTTCTGAGGCACAAATCATCATCCTACAATTTAATGCAAAGAGCTCAATAATTTCCATTGTTAAAAGGTCTGTCTGCAACTGTCATGTGTTGGTCTCAGTTGCATTACCACTAGGATGACGTGAGTTAGGTACTTTCCTAGGGGGCAGAAGTTAAGGGAGTGCCAAAAAACTCAGCAATCAGGAAAAAAAATTTAAATACAATATTAGAAGAATAAAAATTAATCTTGAACACAAATCTTGAAAATCTCGAACAAAATATAGAAATACTAAATAAGACAGGCTCTGACGGGGCGAGGATTTGGTGGGTGAGTCACAAATACAGAGTCAGCTCCTGTCTTTATTGGAAATCTTGATTTTTTGGGCTTCTAGTCCTATTTGAACATTGGAGACTCCACCTTCAAAAGGGGACTCTCTGAAGGCATTGAATGTATGCTCATTTATAGAAACCTCAATGTGCAATGTGTATGCCTAGAGCCTGCAGTAAAAATCCTACATGGCTTCTGTTTCAGTTTGCAACACTGTTACTGTGTCTACTTCTTAAAACAGTTCTCTTGAGCTACTCCATGCTTTGTCCTCCAGCCCTCACTGGGAGCCCTTTGTGCTAGATCATTCTTGATGCAGGTACACTTAGGGAAGTCCATTCCTGACTTCATTTTAATTGACTTGGATTGGAATGTTTTTTGTACTTGGGTTAAAAATACCAAAAATCTCACCTAACTTGATTTTCAAAGAATGGTGTTCATAGATATATATCCCTGCAGTCCATACTGGCTTGTCTTAGGCCCTAAACATGAGCAATGTATTCTATCTTTTTACAAGACCAAGGTAAGCATGGAAAAGTGTTTCTCCGTGTAAACTGACCTGTAAAGGTTTATGTTCTGCAGAACCTACTTGGTAAGTTCAAATTGGTGATGGAAACAGACATTGGGATCCTAATATAGTGAAAGAAAACATTCTTTAAGACTGCTTTAAGCAAAAACTCCTGTCTGCCCCCAAGTTGTCTTAGACAAGACAGCATAAGTAATCACTGTGCTTTGGGCTCCATAGCCCAACTACATCATCACAGCATCAATATCATCTTTATAAATAGGGATCCACATTTCATAACAGTGTTCTTTAAACACATGGTGGTAGGAAATTCAAAGTTGGGTAATTTGTATTGTTGCTGTCATTTATTTGTGCCTAAAAAGAAAAATTATAGAAGATGCAGCATTATCGCCTGCAGGAGTGGTACAGTATCTGAGATCATTATTATTTACTTCCTGTCTTTTTTTTTCATAATCTCCTACTGAATAACTATTTTATTCTTCACTTGTATATAATCCCAGCAAGCTAGACATAAGCGGGTATATGTTTATTCAGGGGAAAAAAACCAAATATAATAATTAAAGGCTACATCTATGGTTAGTTAACAAATTACAGGCACTCCAGCTTTGGGTATAAAATAGAAGATGACCCTCTCTGAGATGGACACAGTAGGAGTTAATGTGAAACTGAACGACATTAATCATTTTGAGATGACTGACTTTGAGGGATGTTCTGTAAATGATTTGCTGTGTAGGCCATGCCATTTCCTCAGGCTTAGCACTGGAACATCAATCTACTGTGAAATGAAACATGAGCTGTTATTGTGAACACTAACATATTTGTGAAAAACACAAAAGATGTCTAGAGAAAACACTGAGAATTAAGAATTTGCTTTTCTGCAAGGAACAGAGGCACTATATCTGCCAGGCAAAGATGATGAGCACAAAACAATTTTGATTTATTGAATATGAGAGGAGCAATACCAGTTTCCTTAGGCATATTAATTTGGATTATTTAGACAATGGAAGAAAGTCAGTATTATTATTTCTGCTTGAAAAGTGAGCAGACTGGGTCTCAGAAATGTTACGTGTCTCACCCAAAGTCACACAGTTGGCATGAGGTTGTGACAGCATTTGAGGTCTGATCTGTCTGTCCCGCCAGCATGTGGGTCTTTCTCTATGAGCTCCTCCTCAGGCATCCAAGTGTTTCCTCCACTAGAATTCCATACTTTTTAGTGAGATGACTCTCAGGCAACATCCCAGGTTGGGCAAAATCTCCACAAAGTTCTCCAGCTCAGACCCCATAAATCATCAGTTGTTTTTAAAAATACCTTCTTTCTCTAAGTGCCTCAGTTTTGAAGAATGTGTGCTGAATGAATAAATCAGCATTCTCACTACTGGAATCAACTATTCTCTCTATTAGTTTACAAGTATTCTGGGGTGATTTTTTCCCTGTTAGTTTGAATCTTTGGCGCCTGATCAATCTTGGATGAACTACTAAATTCAAGTTTCTGAAATGACAAAAATGAAGGATAGCTCCATTGGTTTTCATGGATTTTTCTACAGTCTTCTTACAAAGATGTCTCTCCAAGAATAATGCCAAAGAAAGCCAAACTGCTATAAAGCTTCTCACTGCTCTTGCATATGCTGGCCTTCTGCCTCAAATGCATTCACTGCATTGTCTCCTGACAAATTTCCCCTCCTCCTTTAAAATCCAACTTAAATGGCTCTCAGTTTTGTGAAATCATTCTGTGCTGCCCAGAGTAAAGCCAATCCCTCATTAATTTTAAACTTGTACATAATTTTGCACACACCACTGTTATAGTCACTCAGCACTCTACAGGAACTCCTTCTGTATCATTCTTTCTTCTCATCTAGCCTATGAGTTACCCAACCATGTGGATGAAGTCAGAGTCACCTTGTTACTCCAGCACCTGCAACAGCAGTTGGCATAGGAAAAAATCCTCAGTAAATATTCGTAGAAATGACATTTTAAAACCATCCAGTCTTTATCTTTGAAAACTGTAGCCTTCAGGAAGATGTAAAAAGATGGGTACTTTTTAGGGGCCTACATCCTTAAAGGGCTTAACTAAGATCACGGTTATTGAATGAAGTTCATTCTAAGTTCACTAAACTTGATTTATTACAATTAAGCTTCCTATTATATCTTTTCTTTCGATTGCCTCTCTATGTTTAATATACCTTCTGCTTATAGAATGATATGGTGCCTGAAGTAACAATGAGAAAAATGGAGCCCCAGGAAGTCAAGGGATTTATCACAAATCACAAAGCTAAGTGGGAGAGTAAAGTAGAACACTCTGGAACTCTGAGCCCCTTTGTTACTCTTTCTAGTAGACCAAGGTGCTACGGAAATAATAATAAAAACTCGTATAAGCTTGTTCAAGCTTCTTTAACCTATTCAAAAGAAACTTTTTTTTTTTTTTTTAATAATTGCATGGGGCACCATACCCTGGAAAAAGTTGCCACCAGCTTTGTGCCTAACCCTTTCCAAACAAAGCCATCCACAAATTTAATGTTAGAAATATTGGTCCCACACTGATAGCTGTGGTTTTCTTTGCAATAAAATGTGAGCATATGTTCATCTATACATACTCGCTGTCGTAATAAAACGAGGAGATATCACACTGACCATAGTCCGTGTTTTCCGGCTCCCAACAATTTGATGGCCAAAAATAGGGTGTCTGTGGAATAAAAAGAAGTGCAACCCCGGTTAAACACACACAAAATTCCTAGAGCTCTTGGTTTATGAATTGTGTTCATCTTCAGCAGTTATCCAGAATAGTCTGCTGATAATGTATGTTTTGTAATCCAGGAAAAGTACCCAAGGAGGCACTGTAGGCTTTTCTTCTACATTTACTTTGCTGAGCAATTTTCAGTCTCCAAATTGTGTTGTGCAGCACCAGCAGGTACTTAAAATATCATACATTTGCTGCAATTTTATGTCAAGTGACATAAAGGTAAAAGGTCTGATTGTATCATTCCAAAAAAAAAAAAAGTGTTAACCCACAAAGACTGAAAGCAGACTATTAAATTCAGCAAGATCCCCAGATGAAATATATTTAAATATAACAAATCGTTTTCTATGATTCAAGTATCTCATTATTGCCTTCAGTAGATCCAATGCTCAACCATCAAAATTTTCCCTAAAACCTGGCAATCATTTGTCTGGCTTTGTTAATTATATAATGCTGCTGTCAACATTATCCAACCAGATTTAAACAACTCTTCTGTCTCACTTTAAAAAAATATTTCTCCATAAAAACACTTATTGCTTCAGATTTTTTTAACTGCAGAAACCAGAGGTGATTTTTTTAAAAATGAATTTTACTTGATTTTATTTTAATTTTAATCAATTTTAATTGATTGATGTGATTAACAATCAACAGAAATCTCATTCTGTGAAATTCTAGAAACTGACAAAACTACAAAGAAACTGATCAGGAAAACCCTGTTATCATCAACATTTTATATGTTCTCATAGGGGTTTTCTAGCCCCACTAGATGGACATGCAAGGCTCCAGGCCGAGGATGGCCACCTGTCTACTCTTTCAAACTTTGATGATGACTCTAGGACTCAATGAAACAAGACTGCAGACATCAAACTTGTGGGCTTACTTATATTTATTAGTCAGTTATATTAGCTACCCATGTGCAATGAGCATACTTGAGGTAATCTCTGATTAGCTGTTTGATAATTCTCCCACTGGAAGAGGGATTCTCAAGGCGTTGGGGGGGGAAGGATAATTGGGGACAACTGTTTGAATCTCTGGGGGAGAGCATTTTCAAACTCCTCAGGACTCCAGGGATTTTGATTTACCCTCCACTCCTTCTTGGGAATTGCTGCAGGATAATAAAGAAATCTGCTGCTGTTACACATGTGAACAAAGTGACGACAAGTATTTAGGTGGGGTGGGGAGAGTTGAAACACTGGACAAAGGAAGACATCAAGGATTTCTATGGCCCCATTCTCACGTGAATCCTGCTTGACTCCTTGGGAAATAGAGCTTTGAGGGAAAAATTGGGTCAGAATCTAGGGGAACCACAGGGAACAAAGTAGTTAAAATCTTGTGGGCCACTAGTTTTGAGATACTTCTCAAAAGCATTTTTCCCTTTATTCTGTGAGGGGTGTGTGTGTGTGTGTGTGTGTGTGTGTGTGTGTGTGTGTGTGTGTGTACACATACCTAACTTCTAAAATTTCTATTCTAGTCAGATTGGCCAGACTCATACTTTTTTCTCAAAGCCACAAGGAATGTTCTTAACTGCATTCTTACAATTTTTCTTTATTCTTCTATCATTTACTTTAGTGAGAATTTCCTGACTAAAAATAAAAGAATAAAGCTATTTTATGCTGTGATATTATGTGGAAATGCCTTAAACCAGCATTCCTCACAAATACTGCAAGATTTTTTCTAGGAAAAGCATTTTAATTTATAGTAAAAAAGAATTTAAAGAATAACAAATGCTTATAGTTTGTTGAAATTTAAAAATTTACTTTTAAAATTCAAGTAGACTTAGGACATTTTAATGTATGAGTTTCTCTTTTCTTTTCACAGTTGGCTTCTTTAGCTATAATAAAACTGATCCAGCCATTACTCAATAACCTTTGGCACATACACTAATGGAATGAAAGTCATGAAAAGGACCTGGAGAATCATGTCAGATCTCAATTACAGCTAGCTAACAAAGTATAATTAGACAATAGCAAGTTTACAATGAATACAGAAATCACATGATTTAAAATGTGCTGAGAAATTGAGACAAATTTACATACTGCGGCATATCAGTGAGATTAAATGAAGAGTTCTGTTTGTCTCAAACTCATGCCCTGAAGCTTCTTCAGATTCCTAGTGATGGTTAGAATCTCAATCATTCACTGGAGGAACAGTAAACATGATATTGCAAGTTTCCCATTTTAATTCATGATTTTTAAAATCCTCCTAGGAAGTCGAATTTCAGCTCAATATAATAAAAAACTTTCTGCTGCTTGGAACCAACACAAAAATGGAAGCGGACACCTTGAACAATAATGTGTTTTCTATTATTAGGGCTGTTCAAATATAAACTGATTAATGCCTTCACAGACATTAAAGCAGGAATTCAATTATCCCTGACTTCTCTGCAGTGTCCTTTGTTTGTTTTTTAAATCTCGGTTTTAAGATCCTATGATTGTTAGATTTACAAATATGGCACATTTAGATCCTATTTCAAATGTGAACAGGTCATTAAAATATTTAACATTAATTAATGTAATTTGAAAGACTATTTATCATCTACCTAGGCACGCTAGAAACTTGCTAAACTTCTGCCCTACACCACTTGCACCCATTCCCTTGTCTTGCTCTAAAGCTCTTTAAAAACAGTCTCTACTTTCTCCAGAATATATGGTGGCCCATTCCCAGCTCTGCATATCTTTGACCTATGACGATGACTAAGACATGTAAACCTTGTCTGCCTACTAATTTCAGTCTGGGGACGACAAGTGCAGAGCTAAAGGTTGCAAATTAGGCTAACTCAAGACACCATCACAAACTTTGGGCCCATGTGTGAGCTAGTTTGCTTTAAGGAAAAATTTTAAATTAGATAATTCTCCAGAGATAAACAGACTACATCCAATGCTTCCGTCATAGATATGTTCTTTTACACAGAGATGATTTTAGGTGTAATATTGATTATGAAGATAGATAAAAGTTGTTATTTTTGTAAAAAGAAAAATCCTTTCATTCAGAATTTGTGAGATTTTTATTAGGCCTAAAGTTTACTTATAGTCTCTATATGAAAAATTTTTCAAAGAAAGTAAGATTATATGGAAAATGTAGTTCTGCAGAAAAGTAACTCCCTTAAAAAAATAAAAAACTGTTACAAATACAAATTTTGTTTAATAATCATCACTAATAATTTTTATTTATTAAAAGTTACCTTTAGGAACATGAGTTACTTTAACTTATTAATAAGCTATTTTAAGCTACCATTACTTTAACTGTATAAAGGATAATGTTCCTTTATTTTAAAGCCTTTTAAAATTAATTAATTTAACTAATTTATGTTGCTTGAAAACTTAGGTCAGTATCCTGATTCCAAGAGACTGCTTCATCTCCTAACTATTTGGTGCATAAAGTCCTGTGACTATTTGCCTTGGATAAAAAGGTCCTGAGGAAGTGGCAGTGAGAGTGTTCTAGGAAGACAAAGGTCTTTAAATGTTTTTAAAACATATTCCCTCTTTGTTTGGCTGTCCCACCAAGTTCTTTGGCACCCAAGTTATTATTTTGTCATTTATTTAGATATAGAACATCTAATGATATTTAGAACAAATGAGAAAGAATGCTTCAATGTCTACAAATTTGACATTGGGGAGAATCCTCTAAAAATACATAAGAGCTAGAGTCTGAACTCTGGCATTAAATGTGCCTTAATTTTATGGGCTAGAACCCACCAGCCAGTTATTAACGAACCATATTGCCTAATGAAATGTAGCACCTACTTCAGGCAAATCATTGTGAACTCAAGTGTCAACTACATGCTCAAGGACCAAAATCAGAGTCCACAATCACTTCTGAAAGAATAATAGCATCTGTCTCATTTGGAAGTGACCTAAACGACTCTTCTCAGTTTACAGGTTATCTACGGTATAGTTTTGTCTCAGATGAGTGCACACACACAAAGTATCATGCACGTCAGTCTTCACAGTCTTCTTGTAGGAAGCCTCAGGTACCGACATGCAGAAGGCTTGTATAATTAGCTAAATTCTGCATTGGAGTTTCAAGCATTCCCATGAGAATCTGCTTGGACTGAAAACAGTCTTGTATCATGGACATGGTCCAGAGTATAATCAATTCAGTTATACTTCTCAGCTTCCTTCCTGGTGGCTAATGTAGCTTACGCAAGAAGAACTCTCCCACCTCCTGAATTCCAGCAAGCCACTCTCTGAATTATTCTCAAGCTTTAATATAAAACATAACTTTAATCATCACACAGTTTAGCTTTCACAAGTCATCATAACCAAGCACATTCCTTCTCTGCTTAGTTTTTTCTGTCTTATATTTAACATTAATTAGTTTCTAACTAGACTAAGTCAAATAAAATGAGTCATATTTTCAAAATTTTTGTAAAAACAATCAACAAACAAAATGCAGACTTCTATATTACCATTAAGGAATATTTTCATTAAACTTACCTGAAACCGATAAAAGGTGCCATCATCTTTGAGTGTGAGGACGTGATCCGAGATTGGAAAGAAGTAGCCATGGGCAGCCATTAATGTTCCCAAATGGAGTGCCTCCACTATTTCATGAAAACAAACAAACAAAAATGTATACAAAAATTTTTTTATGTTGATTTGCAGGAGTATAGGATTTTATCTTGTTCCCTTTTGAGCACATTCTTTTTTTTTTTAATGTTATGTTAATCACCATACATTACATCATTAGTTTTTGATGTAGTGTTCCATGATTCATTGTTTGCGTATAACACCCAGTGCTCCATTCAATACGTATCTTCTTTAACACCCATCACCGGGCTAACCCATCCCCCTCCCCCCTCCCCTCTAGAACCCTCAGTTTGTTTCTCAGAGTCCATAGTCTCTCATGGTTCATCTCCCCCTCCGATTTCCCCCCTTCATTTTTCCCTTCCTACGATCTTCTTCTTTTTTTTTTTTTTTTAACATGTAGTGTATTATTTGTTTCAGAGGTACAGGACTGTGAGTCATATTTTCAAAATATGTCTTACACAATTCACAGTGCCTTTTGAGCACATTCTTGCATCCAAATTCTTGGCATCCTAAACGACTTGGCTTTGAATTTTTTCTTTTTCCATCTCTTTCACAGAGGGTACTAAGGTGGCTCTGGTTCCACATAGTAACTATGCAATGACCAACCACACCGCACGACGACCAGCGTGTGAGAACATAACACTGTGGAACGCTGAGACTGGAAGGCTATTCTGAAATCACAGAATCCGACTCCTTCGTTTTATAGATGGGATATATTTTGCTCTATGTTAATAGTCTTCCACAAATAGTTATATTTGGCATTTACATAGCACTTTAAAACTTTATTTTTATTTTTTATTTTATCTTTTCTTTTCTCTTTATTGTATTTATTTTTAATTTAATTAAATTTTATTATGTGATGTTAGTCCCCATACAATACATCATTAGTTTTTGATGTAGTGATCCATGATTCATTGTTTTCGTATAACACCCGCTGCTAGATTTTATTTATTTATTTGAGAGAGAGACCGGCAGAGGAAGAGGGAGAAGCAGGCTTCCCATTGAGTAGGGAGCCTGATGCAGGACCGACCCCAGGACCCCCATCATGACCTGAGCTGAAGGCAGATGCTTAACCAACTGAGCCACCCAGGTGACCCTAGCACTTTAAACTTTTAAAAGTGTTCTCACTTGCATCACCCCCCAGCCTATATAGTGGATAATCCAATACTATCAGCAATTTTTCTAATGGGATGGATCATTATTACATAATGTCATCAGCGAAAGTTAAGGCATCCAAAACCATTTATGCTACATTAAGTGAGTGCTAAGCAGCCATTTATGCTGCTTCTGTAGTCCTGTGATCATCTGGACTGCTCTAGTTTCTACTACTCTATATTCAGTGTTCTAGATATGGACCATGCAGAGGTTTACTTGACAATGAAAAGATTACACTTTTCCAGAAGGCTGAGAAACAGGTGGAACATAATACTGTGATACTCATACTCCTTTTATAGCAGTTAACAATTTCTTCCAATAAAATGGTTAATAAAATTTGGTCAACACAGTTACTATTACTATTGCATTCGTTCAGGGACAATATAAAGTTTACTAACTTAGAGTCTGGCAACCAGGGAACTATGCACAATAGTTTTTCAGTCCCTTGGAAAGTTAGATTTATTGATCTGTTTTGCATCTTTATATACAGTTTACTTATGGATTTATTTCTGTTTCTTAGACAAGTAAATGGTTCTTTAACTCAGGAATTCTTACAGTGGTTCCAGGAATGTGTGGATCTGTCCAGCTGTCCATCCTGGGGAGTTTTGATATTCCAGCCAGTACTGAGTCACTAAACGGCTTGCTATGGTGCAGTGAAGCATAAGAAACCTTCCCCTGTCCTTTACCTTCCCATGCCTATGTGGGCTAATAATAAATTTTATTTCTTAATTTTATTTAAAAAGTTAAATTTTATCTGCCATGAGGTACTATGGTGCCCCTTTTAATTGTCATTTAGCATCCTGTAAACACTTCAGTTGGTAACTTCTACTTCCGGCCTCTCACTGTGTTGTATTTGTCAATAATAAAGAAGAACTGTCAATCATCCTCTTTGCCATGCCCTTGGAAGACTGTTACTAAGGGTCCCAGCCATCATCTTATCCACACTTCCAACTAAGTGCCTCCCTGCATAGAATGTTAGTTTGCTACAAAGGAGTAATTTTTTCACCATCTATATATCATGTCTGCATCCTTTTAGCTCAAAGTCAAGACCTTCTCAAAGCCAGTGCTGCTTACAGCTACATACCCACCTGTTCTGTGACTCTTGCTGAAACTCAGGAGCTAGTGGGGTGTTGTAGGAAGAACAAAATATTTGGAGATACAAGCTAGCTTTTGTTACTTAAACTCTGTGTGCCTCTCCCATTTATTAATAAAGGTAGCAAACCCACCTTGCAGGGTTGGTATGAGAATCAAAAAGAATATATGTAAAGACGTTCTATAGGAGACATTCAATAGATGGTAGCTGTTACGCTTCATTATTTGCACATGAATTCAGGTCACTTTTATCTAAAGCACTGTTAGGAAATCCACTTGCATAAATTTGCCTCAACTAGGCTGAGAGAAATTGGCAGTCCTAAATAGCATCCTAAACAGCCACTTACATATTATTTTGTGTGTGTATGTGGATTATTTATAAAACTGAAATAGTGAGAGAATCTGTAAGGATTGCTGGCCCATAACAATGAGCAGGTGCTTACAGCCTTGCTCATATTCTGAGTCCCTGGATGCTCCTGTCAGGTAGCACTAGTCAGGGCAACACATTACATCTGTTTTAGAATTGCAAGGTCAGGTGGCCCACCTATCTTGTAATAAACATCTTGTTTTACTCCCAGCAATCTGTGGCCTAGGAAAATATTATTAGCACCACTTTCCAGAAGCGGAATTGAGTTATGGCACACGAGAAAGATTGTGAGAATAGATTCAAGAAAGGAAAACTGAGATGTCCAGAAAGATGAACAGTAAATGGCTTCAGACCTCTAATCATAGGAATGAGTGTGACTAAAATAAAATAAACAACAGAAACCAGTGGGGTGCTAAAGGGCTGATGAAGATTAGAAAATTATAGTGAAAGTAAGTATAATGAAGTTGCAGAAAAAAAATCAGAAGCAAATAAACATAAGCATGTTCTTAACTTCCTGCATCCATTAGATACTGATTCTGAGAGATCATACATTTCTAGAGGGCTGGGTGCATGTCAGTTGGTTTTCCTCATGTAGCACTACCATACATGATCAGATCATAGACGTCATGAGCTTTGTCACAGGACCACCAGAGAACGGGGCTCCAGGACAGGAAAAACGCTTAGAGGAAAGGTCAGGGAGTCGAGGGGGACCGTCTGCTTTATTTCAAACTGTTCGCTTGGCACTTAGCATATCAAGAGTAAAAGTAGCTATCGAACCAGTATTTGCTGAATGAGTAAATAAGTCAATTTATGAATCAAGGACACAACAAACATATGAAAAACGGAGTGCTGCATGAAAAAAGAACAAACTAGCTATTTTGTGCTGTGATGATGAGCAGCTTGTTCAGCTCTTCAGAGATAATGCAGATGTTTATAATCTTGTTTCAAGATACTTTTATAAGCTTTGGAGGTGAGGCTGTGGTAGGTCTTTTATTATGGGAAAAGGTAGTAGTGAGATTAATGGCATACACACACCACTAAGAGATCCGAGAGTGGGCAGGGGGTAGTGTTCTCAAGGCTGACCTGTTTATTGCTGGTGACAAAGATGAAGCTACACTTCCCCATGGTCCCTCTGCTTCTGAATCCCAGCACAGCCTTAACCTAGTAAGAATCCAGAGGACTGCTGACAGTCTTGGAACAAAGTGTTGAAAGAGTTTAATGAGTAATCCATCAAGATCGCCCTTCCCAATAATGACGCACCAGATGGCTCCACCACGTTACGCTTCTCGGCAAAATAATCACTAATTAATCTTGTACATGTGTTATTCGCGTCACCCACACAGCTAAATAAAGTTCAACAACAAACCTACCATAAAATTCAATTTTATTTTTCTTTTGGACAGTCAAGCCACGAACAAATTGAGAAATAAAAATCCATCTCCAAACAACTGTTACTATGTGAACAGCTTAGTGTAGCTTTGTTAAGCCTCATCTATTCATCACATTACTTCACCCCAAACCCTGCAGCAGGAGAATTATCAAAATCCTTTAAAAGCAAAGAGAATTCTGCATAACATAATTTACTTTTGCGGAATCACGACTACTTGAGAAAGTTAATAGGATGAAAGCATGTTAGAAAATAGGCTTGTGTTGTTCAGTGCTAGATGTCTATACTCAGTTCTATACTTAAAACATATTTTAAAAATTCAATAGTATTTTCTTTATCCTGAGGTCCAATTCTTGGCAGTCTCAGCCCCTCCCAAATACAGTCCGTAAGTTTGAAGTGATGGAAAAATGCCTCTGAGTTAAGAAAATAATAATAAAAAAGTATCACTAAATTATGTTTTTATTCATATCATAATTTATTTTTATTTCCTGTGTATGTATTAGGAATGGGATTGTTTCATTATTAGCACACAGCATACTTGATGTGGTAAATATGATTACTGTGTGGAGAGAAATATTTTAGAAGGAAATCCACTCAAAATAGAAAAAATGACAGCTGATGATATGATATTAGGGAGAGAAAAAGCTAAAAACAGACAGGTAAGTTACTAAACAGTAAAATAACAGGCATTCATCATGATGATCCTGTGTCATAAAGATTTTGTTGATTATTACTCTCTGTTTAAGAAGATAGGGAAGTGGTCACTTTAGAAGTACTTCAAAATATTATAACTTTTTAAAGAAGTGGCACTTGAAAAGGTAAGGTTAGTCATGTGGAAAAATCATATATGCAGCACATTTTATTCTCCAAGGCCAAATAAAAGTAAACTATTACTATACTTAGGAATTTCTGAGGTAAGTTCTTTTTCTCAATAGTAAGAGTTAATGAAAGAAGTAAGTATCTGGGCTTTCATCTTTCCTTCTTTCTTTCTTTCTTTTTTTTTTTTTTTAAAG